TAGTAGTAGTAGTAGTAGTAGTAGTAGTAGTAGTAGTAGTAGTAGTAGTAGTAGTAGTAGTAGTAGTAGTAGTAGTAGTAGTAAGAGTAGTAGTAGTAGTAGTATGATGATGATGATGATGATGAAGATGAAGATGACGATTAAAATAGTAATCATAATAATGATGATGATAGCGATGATGATGACGATGGTGATGATGATGACGACGATTGCAACAATAACAGCAACCATGACGATTACGTTAACACTGGAAAAAATGAATATGACGTCATGATGACGTAGATGACTGTGGAATTGTCTGTAATGCATCATTTGGACGATGGTAGTTTGGTCGAAGGATTACGGAGTATGATTAGGTTTGAGTAATGCCTTGTTTAATTATGACGTAACATTGACGTTTTGTTGTTGTCTATGTTTTTGATGATTCCGAATGAATAATGTTCTGTTAACTTATGACGTAGCTCATGACGTTTTGTTGTTGTTGATGTTGTTGTTGTTGTTGTTGTTGCTGCTGCTGCTGTTGTTGTTGTTGTTATTGTAGCAACTAGTGATGATTGTGAATGAATGATGTTAAGTTTGCTTAGGAAAAAGATGATGACGTAATAAAGGATGTCGTTTTGTTGTTGTTGATGACGAGTATGATTGTGAATGTTTTGTTTTCATATGTTGACGATGATGACGTCACTGACTGATGATGTCATTGACGTTTTTGGTGATACATAATTTTTATCAACAACAAACAACAACAACAAACAACAACAACAAACAACAACAAACAACAACAACAACAAACAACGACAACAACAAAAAACCACAACATGATCAACAGCAAATGCCAAAAAGCAAGGGTTGTATATGCGAGTAATTTGTCCAGCAAACGTGGTTTATTGAACTTTTCAATGCATTTTTTTCTAACATAAGCAACAACTAATAATGTCAATGTTATACAGTTGTTTGCTTGTTCGTTCGTTCGTTTGTTTGTTTATCTGTATATTTGTTTGTTGGTTTAGTTGTTTAGATGTGCTGCTAATAGTCTCAAGGTAAGTTTATGTTTCTTTTATAGTTATGTTGCAGTTTATGTGTTTTGTTAATGTTTATTTGGTTTAATTACAGATTATTTTATAATAACACGTATATAACTATATATATGTATATATATATATGTTGGTAATAGACCATAATTTTTATAATATTCTATAAATTCTACCGAATGTTTGGCGTTAATATGTTTGTAGTTCGTTTTTTCGATTTTTCTCACTAAAGTTTTTTGGTGAACGTTTAGTTTATTAAAATTCAAAATAAACTTATTTTTCGAATTCATGCTGCAAATAAGGCCATATTTCGATTCCGAATGAATCATCGTCAGTGCTCCTTGTTGTATATACGGCTGTGCACGTCAACATGACTCATATATCGGGATTACTACTACCTCACTGACTAGAAGGCTTACGATGCATAAACAGAATGGTGCTATCAAATCTCATTTGGACTCAACACACTCAATCACAATTAGCCGTGAAATCCTCGACAGCAACACCAAAGTAATATACCAGAACAGTACTACACGCATCTTAAAATTGCAGAAGCAGTCCTAATCGACATCAATAAACCAAAAATAAATATACAACAAAAAATGACAACCTCACTTCCAACCCGGCGCTTAATCAACAACGAAAACAAAGAAGTAATAAAAACTAGCATCGTAAATAGTGACAAAGAAGAATATGATGCTATCGATGAAGAAAAGGAGACCAAAGAAGATGACCAGCCAATTAAGAAACCTGACACCTAATTCGCATCAAAGTTCAATTTTACAACACCAAAGTTAATTTTTACAACGTCAAAGTTAATCTTGACAA